GAAGCTCGTGTGATCGACAGTCAATTCGCGGTTATTGTGGCGTGTATTTTGTGAATCGTGGGCGGAAGCGTGCCGTGGGCAGTGCGCTTTGGCGGATATTGTGTTTAGCGTTGCGTATTCGTGAGTATTGGTGCTTGCCGTGCGAGGAAGCATACGGGGCGCGTCGCGGGAGATCGCATCGGGCATATTGCATTGTATCACGAGCGTCGCGGATATTTTGCGTCACGTTCGCGGGCAAATATCGTCGTGCTTTCTCGAGGGGGAATCTCGCGAGCGCACTATTGCATAGCTTTGCGCACTTGTGGGTTCGCGCTTCGGGCATTATGTCGTGCGTATAAAAATCGTTGTGTATTCGAAATCTGGGGATTAAGGCGTAGGCGGATTGACGATATCGCGTGGTCGCGCTTATATGAACCGAAATTACTGAGCTCGCTTGAGAGCTTCGCGGATACTTGGTGCCGCCTATCCGGGCGAGTACCGGCACGCATCGTTCGAGAAAGGAGTCTCGCGGACACGAACATCACGCGCTCCGTGCGTGCTTTAATCGCCGATTCGACTACCGCGTTGCTACCGACCATTTGAGCGATCTGGCCTTAGTTTCCCGCTATGATTTACATGTTCTCTTTGTAAAATATATTTGGTTACTATTGTTCATCATCGAGCTTTATTTGTGTGTCGATTGCGTTACGCTCCCTCTCCACCTCCACCTCTATAACGCGGAACTGCGCCCTGAGCTTGCGTCGAGGCCGTAAGAACGGACATTGTCGAGTCGTGGTGCGCGTCTCTAATCGCACCTGGCGCCCAATCAAAAGGTATTGTTGGATATGCGATTTTATCTTTGGGATTATCGGGATTGCGGGAAGCAAGGAAAGACACGCGTATTTAATCACGACCGACTCTTTATTCTTCGAGACGTATACACGTGTGTTCTTAGCGCTAGACAGCGGAAGACTGCCTGCGGCCGGGAAGTCAACCGGAAGAAGAAATACTACAGCGCCTCTGTTACTAGGCGGAACCAAAATCGGTGTGTTCGGAAAGTCCTGTATTACAGTGTTCTCAACGTCGCGTATTGCACAGTGTTCTCAAGTCGCGTATCCTACATTTCCTCCCTCCTTTCACGACGGCGATTCCTTTCCGGTACAAATCTTTGAGGTGCGCGAGTTACGCTAGAGTTGTCCTTCGAGGTGCTGGCGGTGGCGGTGTTCTTTTCCGTTTCCGCGGAGGACTGGCTGGAGGAGTGTCTGATCCGGACGAGAGTGTGACACAAGGCGGATCCGAACTGTCGTCTGACAATGATACAAAATGTCTCATATCAGATGGATCCGAACTGCTTCTTGATAAGGAGTTTCGTGTTGATGTTGGGGAAGCTGTTGATTTAGCTTCAGAATCTCCATAGAAACGAATTTGGCGAGGGCTGGTGCGACCAGCCCCTTGATCTTGCGAATTGATCCATCGCTGATGATCTTCTTTAATCCAGCGTGGTCTCATCTGGTCTACATGTCGTCTGAATCGTTTACCTTGATAGTCGATCTCATAGTGGAGGTCTCCCAGGCGCGTGACAATTGTACCTGGTATCCACTTATCCATGCGAGGATTGCCTGATAGGAAGTATACCTTTTGGGTAGGCTGAAATTTACGGAACGTTGAATCAGCTACAGCTTGCCGCTTCTGCGTGGCCTTCACGTCTGCTCCATCTGCCCTTACTAGATCCAGTCTAGTCCGTATAGTGCGTCCTAGGAAAAGTTGTGCTGGAGATTGGCCTGTTGTAGCATGAGGTGCTTTCCTATACTGGCACAAGAATTTGTTAAGATTGTGTTGTAGCGATCCTGGTGTCGTCGCCATAGTCTTTAATGCGTCCTTTACTGTCTGGACACAGCGCTCGGCTTGACCATTCGTAGCCGGTGCTATGAATTTATGAAATTTAACACCGCTTCCTTGAAGAAATGATTTGAACTCAATGGCTGCAAACTGCGGACCATTGTCTGATACGATGGTGACTGGAGCTCCGTAGGCAGAAAACAATTCTTCCATGATGACAATCGTTGCTGATGCAGTCGTGGAGCTGGTAACTTTTACTTCGAGCCACTTGCTATAGGCGTCGACGATAATGAGTAGCATTTTTCCCGCTACGGGTCCAGCGTAGTCAATATGAATTCTTTCGCAAGGGCTCTTGGGGTACTCCCAATGATGACTACGGTACTTCGGCGGTTCATGCGCGTTCCTTGCACACTCTGAACACGTTTTGGCTTTTCCCTCTATGTCGGAGTCGATGCCGGGCCAAAAAACAAAGGATCTTGCCAGACCCTTCATTTTAACGATCCCTAAGTGCGCAGTATGCAGTTCCTTCAGTATCGTCTCTCTGAACACTGGTGGAATGACAACTTGATTCTCTAACACTAAGCAGTTGCTTCCTAGTCTATAATTAGCCTCAGGTGCTTTGTAACCGGAACGAGCTAAGTCTTGACCTGCTTCCAATTGCTGCAGAATCTTTCCCAAGTGAGGGTCTTTACGCATTTCACGTGCGATTCTCTCAGCGTCCACCGGAAGTTGCTTTATCTGATGTAGCACAAAATGGTCGAATCCATCGTACTCTATCTCTTCTCTCTCTTCTAGTGTAACTTGATGCGTAACGGTCTTCGTTGAGGACACTGGTATTCTCGAGCAATAATCAGCGTTGATATTTGCCTTCGTTGGTTTAAATATGACATCGAAATCAAAATGTGATAGATAGTCGGCGTAGTTGGCCATGCGACTGATGCAAAGGGTTGGCAACGATTTTTCTGGATGCAGGATCTGCGTCAACGGTTTATGATCCGTTATAATCGTGAAGTGTCGGGCATACAGGTAATAAAAAAACTTTTGAACAGCCCAGACTATTGCCAATGCTTTCTTATCTATTTGCGGATAACGTTGCTCTGTCGCGCTCATCGTTCTGCTTGCATATGCGATTAGTCGTTCCTGACCGTTGTCGAGTCTATAAGATAAAACAGCGCCTAATCCTGTCTTGCTGGCGTCTGTTGCGAGTAGTAGTGGTCGCGTTGGATCATATGGCATTAAAACTTGTGGAGAAACTAAGATGTTCTTGATGTCGTCAAATGCTTTCTCAGCCGTTGGAGTCTATTTGAATGGCTTGACGAGTAGCATGTTTCTGAGAGGACGATCCCTTGTTGATAGATCTGGGATAAAAGAGCTGTAATAAGTTGCTTTCCCGAGGAACAATTGCAGTTCATCTGGCGTGCTTGGCTTTGGTGCGCTTCTGATAGCTTGCACGTGCTTCTCCGATTTGTGTATTCCCTGCGAGTCTACTTTGTGTCCTAGAAATTTGATCGCTGATGTCGCGAATACACATTTATCCTTATTGAGATGTAGACCATGCTCTCTGAGTCTTTGTAAAACTAGATCCAGAATTTTTTGTAGACTTTCGAAATCTTCTGCGTAAAGAACCAGATCGTCGAAAAAATTCTTAACGTTTTCGAGACCTTGTAAGACAGCTTTTATTTTACGTTGCCATATAGCAGGGATGCTGGCGGCTCCATAAACTGCTCTGGCTGGGCGGATTAGTCCATGCGTTGGCGTATTGAGCGTTAGTACATGGCTAGATTCTTCATCAAGGACGAGATGAGAATACGCATCCGTAATGTCGAGATGACAGAAGAATTTCGCCCCCTTTAGTTGACTGAATATATGCTCGGTTCTTGGGATAGGGTGCTCGTCTATAATTAAGCGAGGATTGACAGTTGGCTTGTAGTTCCCTGTGATGCGTAACTGACCATTTTTCTTGACGACCACGTGCGTCGTAGAAGCTCATTCCGACGATTCTACTCTTTTATAAAAACCCGACGCTATTTTCTTATCTATTTCTTTAGCGTACGCGTTCCGGAGTGCGATTGGTATCTCCCTAGCTTTCGCGAATACTGGTGTTGTGCCTGGCTTCAAGTGTAACGATATGGGTGGACCAGTAAGAGTTACTGCTGTTGAGCTGAAAATATCTTTATATTTTGCTAAAAGTTGATCTAACTGCGCTTTCTGACCTTGCGTTAAACTCGGCGCGGCGGTTCTGATTGCATGCACTGTTTCCGGCGCGAAAAAGAGTTTTTTAAAGTCAATTTTGTGTACGAAATGCGAGATCCATTCTCTACCGAATAGCGCGTCAAAAGGACCTTTCACCACAAATAGGTTAAGTTCACGAGTGGTTCGTCTGATAGTAACCTTTACGGGAAGGCGGCCGATACACAGGATCTGGTGCCCGGTATAACTAACAAACTGTCTGTTCGTCTTTTCTAATGCGAACCGCGATTTGATTTTACGCAGCGTATTTACACTCACGATGCCGCACAGTGCGCCCGAATCTACTTCCATTTGTAGCATGTTACCGTCTATGATAACGTCAATCATGTGTTTGCTATGCGCGTTTATCGCGTTCACTCTGTCGATAACTCGAATCGTGTCAATATTTTCGGCTGGCTGCAGCGCCGCTACTGTTCGCGTCTCGGTACGCGGTTCTTTCGATCTACATATCTTCGCGAGATGCCCTTTTTTACTACACGAGTGACACACGGCGTCACGAAAACGACACTGGCTTCGCGCGTGTTTACCCCCGCAGCCGTTACATACACTACCGTCACCTTGTTTTTTCGAGTCCTGTCGATTCGATGAATCATGGTAACTCGATTGTTGCTTACGTCCCCTCGATGACGAACGCTGACGCGGTAGCTTTTTATCTCTCTTAAACTTGGGCGGACCATAGCCTAACTTGTGCGTATTTTCTTGAGTCGACGAGCCGGATTCCTTCACTTCATTCGTCGTCTTCCGTGTTGCCTCGAGCGTGCTTGCGATCTCGTAGACCTCTGCGAATGTCGCCGGTTTCTTCGCCACGATTTCGTCGCACATCTCGCGGGTTTCCAGCCCATGGAGTAGCTGCTCCGTTAGCATCCTGTCCAGAAATTCCCCGTACTCACAATGAGTAGGCAAAGTAAGGGCGTTCTAGGCCAGTTTGTGGTGGGGGTATGACGTCACCGGCGTGGTGGGGAAGACGTCATCGGCGTGAAGAGGGGATGACGTCATCTGCGTGGAGGGGATGGCGGCATGTTTGCATCATTAATTAAATAATTATATTAATTAAATTAGGTTATAAAAATTATATTAATTTATAGGTTATAAATAATTAAATTAATTGAGTTAGGTTATGATTCATTATAATCTAATTTAATTAATTTAATTATTTATAACCTATAAATTAATATAATTTTTTATAACCTAATTTAATTAATATAATTATTTAATAAAAAAATTTACGTGACTTAAACTATTGAGTTGAACGCAGGAAGAGATGACGTCGAAGACCTTTTTTTCTAGGTCTACGTTTAACAAAAAAAAATCAACAAAAAACCATATTTTACGTGACTTAAACTATAGAGTCCCCCATAGTGGGGAAATGGGGGTGGAAGACAGGAACGGACAAGTTCATACATGCCGTGATGAGATTATTCTATTTTAGAGATAAAAGTTTTTATCTATTTTTTAATAATTTTATTAATTTTTTAAATTTATAATGAACCGTTTCTATAATTAAAAAGGACATTTTACCGCAACATATATAATTTAAACATAGAGGAGGCTAATGTTAGATGAAAACGGAAGAGAGATTGAAAAATAATTTTGCCACTATTTATGATAATATTCAATTTTTATTCGTAATTTACATTTTTGCTTCAATCTCAAATAGATAGCAATGTTTACGTGACTCAAACAATAGAGGCGGGTAGAGGCAGTCTTCAAGCTTGCAAGATCACTTGGGTCCACTGGGCCTTTTTTTTTCCTGGGTCCGAGTACCTTTTTTCTCCGAAGGGAAATCCTGCATTGGATACCCCCACCCCGGGGCGAGGTGGGTGGTTATGCCAGACTCCCACCGACCCCTCCCACGATCCACCAGCCTTCTAAAACTGTAGAAAAACAAAATAGATTAATGGTTTATTAAAAATAATAATAATAATAATAATAATTTTAAAAAGTAATACTTACGTTGATATTTCATCAGGCTTCACGTTTCCATGCAACATATATCCTATTTCGTGCAAATAGGACATATATTGCATGGATATATTGTATACAGCGGCTGTCTGCAATTTCCACAGGTACG